GGGGAAGAGGAGCCAAAGACAAGACAAAACATTGAAGATAATGATATCTAAAAGCGAAATCCAAACAAACAGCAGGACACAGCAGACGAGACTGCAGTACAGACTGAGTAGAGCAGTCAGATGCCTCCCAAGAAACAGGAAATGCAGATGCCTTTGAAGCTGTGAGTGACATCACAGGCCTACAACACCAATACTGGGAGGCTGAGGCAGGACAATGGAGAGTTCAAGGCGCACAGTCCACAGAGTTCAAGGTCAGCTTGAGTTACATAAGAAGAAATGTTTCAAAAACCCAAAATGCAGAGGCTGGGGGGTAGCTCAGACATGAAGAATACTTGATGAGCTGGGTGGCAGTGGTGCATGACTTTAATCCCAGCACTTGGGAGGCAGAGGCAGGTGGATCTCTGTGAGTTCAAGGCCAGCATGGTCTGCAGAGTTCCAGGACAGCCAGGACTACACAGAGAGACCTTGTCTCAAAAAAAAACCAAAACACACAGATAGGTTTGCCTTGTTCACAGGCTTCATAGTAAAGGATAAACAGGTTTCAGCTGTAACTTTCTACTAAAGGAACACAGAAAATGATTTAAAATGTATAAATGCAAGTTATAAAGGTGTAAGTAAATGATTTAAGGTGTATAAAGATGTTCTGGACTTCTGTCCCCTTTCTATGCTATTGTTACACTGGAATTTTGGAGGCTCAGAGTTTAGCATTGATAAATGGAGTTCTGATAAACTGATAGAGCACTGTTTACTATTCAGCCACAAGCTCAAGATTTTAAATTTCCTCTGGTTGTCTTCTAAGCATAGACCTAAAAAGGTGTGTTTCATCGGGCTAAAACAAGGCTCTCTAGTTACAGAAAAAATGTTCATGCCTTTTAGCCCAAAGCCATGGCCTTTGCTATGACATCAAGGTGTAAATCTGTTCCAGCTGTTTTATAGACAGCTGCATGTTCCTGGGGAAAGAGTGCTGCTACTGTGTCAAGGAATCTGGCCTGGTGGAAACAGTCACTCCACAAATTGTCTGAAGAACTTCATCGATACAACCAGGGCACATCTCCGCTCCATTCCTTCTGGCCGTCTTCACTCTCCCCATGGCTAGCCCCGTTCATAGGGCTGGTGCTAATAACCTACTTTTTTTTTCTCCTAGCAACTTATCTTCTCCACTTCCTCAAGGAACTGATTCCTGAGGTCTCTAGGAGGGCAGTTAACCGAATGCTTCTCCACCCATACCTCCCACTGAGTGTGAGCCCACAAACTCCCTACTCCCCTCCCCATGTTGTCCCATGCCAACAGGAAGTAGCCAGATTTGAACTGCCACCCATATATCCAAGAAGGTTGGGATGTTCGGCTGGAATCTCCAGCTTGGCCCCAGATCTCTCTCTCTCCAGTCCCCACCCTCTCAGAAAAGCCGCCGGGTGTCCAGTTCCTCATTCCTGGAGGTGGCAGTGGTTCCTCTGCTAAGGATGCAAGCTGCTCAAGCCCCTCCTACCATGGTGGGGTACAGCCCAGCTTGTGGAGGACACATCATTACCCTCACGCCTGCAGGGTATTTAAGCTCCCTCCTTCAGCACACCAAGTGATTTTTCTCCTGTCCCCTTCCTCCCCACCTTATCTCTGGGGGCGGGAGAGTCACCCAGGAGTGCTTTGTTCAAATATATCTGGTCTTTTGCTTTTTTATTTTCCTTGATCTGACTTATTGAGTCAGTGGAGAAACCTATTATGGGGTACAGAAACCTACCACACACCTTTAACCCCAGCACTCAGGGAGGCAGAGGCAGGCAGATCTCTGTGAGTTTGAGGCCAGCCTGGTCTACAGAGTTCCAGGATGGGCTCCAAAGCTACACAGAGAAACCCTGTCTCAAAACACCAAATAAATAAATAAAATAAGTTGTTTTTTTTTTAAAAAAACAAAAAAAAAAAACCAAGGCTAGAGAGATGGCTCAGTAATTAAGAGCACTTGCTGCTAACTGAATTCACTTTCTAGCATCCACTATCATATGGCTGACAACCAGATGTAACTCCAGCTCCAGGGGACATGATGTCCTGTAGCAGACTTTCTTGGACCACCAGCCCCCAAATCATGACACCGAGACTTATTATTAGTTATGAAAGCTCGGCCTTAGCTTTGGCTTGTTTCTAACTAGCTCTTATAACTTACATTAACCCAATTCTGTTAATCTACCTGCTGTCACGTGGCTCATGGCTTTTACCTCTCCTCCTGCAACTTCTTCTCCAAGATCTGTCTCCAGAAGTCCCGCCTAGCCTCTTTCTGTCTAGCTATTGGCCATTCAGCTCTTTATTAAACCAATCACAGTGACTTTTTTTTTTTGGTTTTTCCAGACAGGGTTTCTCTGTGTAGCTTTGTGCCTTTCCTGGAACTCGCTCTGTAGCCCAGGCTGGCCTCAAACTCACAGAGATCCACCTGCCTCTGCCTCCCAAGTGCTGGGATTAAAGGCGTGCGCCACCACCGCCCGGCACAGTGACACATTTTCACACAGTATAAAGGTATATTCTGCAACAACGTCCTCTACTGGCCTAGTTGAGCAGCTACACACACACTAAAATAAATCTTTAAGATTTTAATTTCTATTTTTATATGTGTCGTCTGGCTGCCTATAGAGGCATAAAGAGAGTGTCTGATTTCCTATAACTGGAGTTGCAGGCAGTTGTAAGTTGCCTGATGGGGGTACTAGGAACCAAACTCAGGTCCCTTGAAAAGCAGAAAGTGCTCTTAATGGCTTAATCATCTCTTCAAACCCCCAAACTAAAAATTAAGAAAAAAAAAGACCCCAATTCTTTTGTTTGTTTGTTTTGTTTTGTTTTTTGTGTTTTTTTGGGGGGAGGTTGGGGTTTTTTTGTTTGGTTGGTTGGTTGGGTTTTTGGGGGGGGGGTTGAGACAGGGTTTCTCTGTGTAGTTTTGGTGCCTGTCCTGCATTTCACTCTGTAGACCAGACCAGGCTGGCCTCGAACTCACAGAGATCCACCTGCCTCTGCCTCCTGAGTGCTAAGATTAAAGGTGTGTGCCACTACTGCCCGGCCAGAGTGAGAATTTGTCTCAAAAGGTAGTAATAAAGAGCTGAGTAGATGACTTGGTGGGACTTTCAGTAATGCTGATGAACCTGAGTGTTTACCACTCTAGATGGAAGGGCAGACTTTGGAGAGTGGGACCTAAAAATGAGGCGGCCTAAAGTCTCATGCAATAGCCAGCTTTATTCAGAGCATCAGACAATTTACACCCTGAGGGTTAAGAAGAGTCACCTGAGTGAAGTACAAAATCACAAGGACAAGCTGCTTCCATAGAGGCATGTAAACAAGTAACAATAGCCAGCTGTAATGAATAAAAATTCACTCCTATCTGATACATAATCCAAGAACAACCCAGGTCATAGAGGAACAGAGGTTACAAGACTCTTGTTTACTTGGAGTTTTCTCACAAGGTCTCAGAAATCTCCTCACACAGCTTCATTCATGGACCATGTCCTAACACCTGAGTTTGAGTCTGGGGTCCTGTCTTAGTCACTATTCTATTGCTGTGAAGAGACACCACGACCACAGCAACTGTGATAAAAGAAAACATTTAATTGGGGGCTTGCTCACAGTTTCAGAGTCAGTCCATCATCACCATGGCAGAGAGCCTGGGGACACACATGGCACTGAATCAGTAGCTCAGAGCTAGTTACATCCTGATCCACAGGCAGAGAGTGAGAGGCTGGGCCGGGCATGGGTTTTGACATTTTGAAGCCCACCACCAGTGACATACTTCCTCCAACAAGGCCACACCTCCTAATCCTTCTAATCCTTCTCAAACAGTGCCACTCACTAATGACTAAGCATTCAAATATATGAGCCTATGAGGGCCATTCTAATTCAAACCACAACTGGACCAATCGTGGTAGAAGGAAATAACCAACTCTTAAAGTTGTTCTCTGACCTCCAAGTGGGTGTTGCTGCGTACACTCACACTCACACACACACTAAATTTAATTAAATATAATGAGGGCCGGGCGGTGGTGGCGCACGCCTTTAATCCCAGCACTCAGGAGGCAGAGGCAGGCGGATCTCTGTGAGTTCGAGGCCAGCCTGGTCTCCAAAGCAAGTTCCAGGAAAGGCGCAAAGCTACACAGAGAAACCCTGTCTCGAAAAACCAATATATATGAGATGAGGTCTAGGTGGTGATGGCACACACCTTTGATCCCAGCACTCAAGAGGCAGAGGCAGGTGGATCTCTATGAGTTCAAGGCCAGCCTGGTCTACAGAGTAAGTTCCAGGACAGCCAGAGGTACACAGAGAAACTCTGTCTCGAAAAATCAAAAGAAAAAAAAATTGATGAGGAAAGGAATGCCCAGGAACAAAGTATGAAGATATGTATGAGAATGCCATAATCAGGAAGTGTGGTGGTGGCTCCATCAATAAAATGTGTACCACAAATGCATGAAAACCACCAGGAGGTGACGCACGCCATTAATCCCAGGGCTCAGGAGGCAGAGTCAGGCAGATCTCTGAGTTCGAGGCCAACGTGGTCTAAATAGTGAGATCTAGGCTAGCCAGGGATACATGGAGAAACCCTGTCTAAAAAAAAAAAAAAAAAAAAACAAAATAGAAAAAAAAAAAAAGCATGAAAACCCTCGTTCTACCCCAGGTCTTGATATAGTGACTTGAGCCTGTAATCTCAGCATGGGAGGCAGAGACAGGACGCTCCCTGGAGCTCATTGGCCGGCTAGCTCAACCTAACCGGTGAGAGGTCCTTGTGAATGGAGCTGTCTCAAAACAATGTGGACAGATGGCTTCCAAGGAAAGATACTGAGGCTGACCTCTGGCCTCCACCGGTGCACACAAGAATAAGCATATGAAGGAAGGGGACGCTACAACAATGAAATTCATTACCTTGTGGGCTAACTTAAAATTTTAAAAATATGTATAAAGACCAGGGGTGGAGTGGCGCACGCCTTTAATCCCCGCAGTCGAGAGGCAGAGCCAGGCGGATCTCTTGTGAGTTCGAGGCCAGCCTGGACCACACAGTGAGTGAAGCATTAACCTTACTGTTCTCCACTAAATTTCCAGGCTGAGGTTTTTCTATTTTGCTCGGGGATGACAGAGTGTCAGTACTCCAGACTGATGGACGGATAAGTTACGGGTGAAAGGGCGAGGTCTGGAAAGAAGGGATGCTTTCGGAGTCGCTCTCAGTGCCTAGGACTCCGGAGGTCTGAGACCCTTGGGTGCTGCGGAGGCTCCTCCCCCGACGAGCTTCGGAAGCTCCGCCCACGGCGTGCGGCGCTAACGAGGCGTGCCCCGGGGCGATCCGGACCAGCCTGGCGGGGCGGGGCGGGGCAGGGCGGAGTCGACACTCGGGCCAGGGTTCGGCTCACCTCATCCACCAGGGACGGAAGTGCACTCCCCCCGGCACCACGGACTAGCGGGCCGGGCCTCGCCCCAGCGGGCGATCAGGCCTTGGGGAGCTCCTGCGCCGGAGGCATCATGAAGCGTGCAGGAACTCTGCGCCTGCTTTCGGATTTGAGCAACTTTACCGGCGCCGCCCGGCTGCGAGAGTTGTTGGCCGGGGACCCAGATGTCCTAGTCCGCTGCAGCCCGGATGGCCGCCACCTGCTGCTGTTAAGACCCCCCGGGTCGCCTGCCCCGCAACTTCTCGTGGCTGTGCGTGGGCCGGGCCTGGCGCTCGAGCGTGCCTGGCCGGAGGGCCAGCCCTCGCCGCTGGACGCCTTCTTCGTTCCGTGGCTGGCGCGACCCGCGCTGATCTTGGTGTGGCAGAGTGGCCTAGCAGAGGTGTGGGGCGCGGGGATGGAGCCTGGCTGGAAGCTCCTCCAGAGCACTGAGCTGTGTCCGGATGGTGGAGCCCGCTTGGTGGCCGTGGCAGCAACTCGAGGCCGCCTAGTTTGGTGTGAGGAGCGTCAGCTTGGCGTTGAGGACCAGCCAGAGCAGCTTTCAATGGCTTTCAGCCACTGTGTGTGCGTCAAGACCCTGGAGACCAGCGGGGAGGCTGGCACCAAACTAGGCCGCACACACATCCTGCTGCACCACTGCCCCCCTTTGGGACTGATAGCCTCCCGCAAGGACCTCTTCCTGGTGCCCACTACCACCACTTGGCCTGGTGTGGCCCATGTTCTGCTCATCTGGAGCCCGAGCAAGGGCAAGGTGATAGCTGCCGCCCCATCTCTTGGTCTTTCTTACAGTAAAAGCCTGAATCCCAGACAAGGAGATAACTGGGACTTTCGGACCCTGCTGCGAGGCCTTCCTGGGTTCCTGTCCCCCAGGGAGCCATTGGCTGTCCACACCTGGGCCCCATCTTCCCATGGCTTATTATTGCTTGACTTCAAAGGCAAGGTGAGCCTAGTACAGTGCCATGGTGGGACTCGAACTGTGGGAACCCTACAGGAGGCCCCTGTAGGCCCAGAGGGGTCTGCAGCCCTGGGAACATTTCATGGCACGTTAGCCTGTGTCCTGGGCTCCACGTTGGAACTACTGGACATGAGCAGTGGGCAGCTGTTGGAAAGGAAGGTCCTGAGTACAGACCGAGTACATCTGCTGGAACCTCCAGCCCCTGGCATGAAGAATGAGGAAGAGTTGGAGACCCGGGGAACTCTCTGTTTGCTTTCAGCCTTGGGGCTCTTTTGTGTGGGCTGGGAAGCTCCCCAAGGCCTGGAGCTACCCTCGGACAAGGATATAGTGTTTGAGGAGGCCTGTGGCTACTACCAGCGACGGAGCCTGCGAGGTACCCAGCTTACCCCAGAAGAACTGAGACACAACAGCACATTTCGGGCGCCTCAGGCCTTGGCCTCCATCCTTCAGGGCCACCTGCCTCCGTCTACACTGTTGGCGATGCTGAGGGCCGAGCTTCGCGATTACCGCGGTTTAGAGCGCCTCAAGGCCCAGCTGGTGGCTGGGGACGAGGAGGAGGCTGGCTGGACGGAGTTAGCAGAGCACGAGGTGGCACGCCTGCTGAGGACCCAGTTGACCGGGGACCAGCTGGCCCAATTCAACACCATTTTCCAAGCCCTTCCTGCAGCAGCTTGGAGTGCCACCCTCCAGGCCCTGCAGCTCCAGCCGGATAGGACTGGCAGGCTGAGGTCCCAAGCACCCCCCGATGTATGGAAGAAGGTCCTGAGGGGTCCAGCAGCTGGGAAGGAGCACCCCAATGGAATATTGCCTCCCTTTGAACTCCTGTGTCGATGTCTCTGCCAGCTGGAGCCCCAGTGGCTCCCCCCATTTGTGGAACTGGCACAGCAGCAGGGTGGGCCAGGCTGGGGGGCCGAGGGCCCCAGTCTGCCCCTTTATCGGCGAGCCCTAGCGGTGCTGGGTGAGGAAGGGAAGAGACCTGAGGCCCTGGAACTAGAGCTGCTCCTGGGCAGTGGGCGGCCCAAGGCTGTGCTGCACGCTGTGAGGCAGCTAATAGAGAAGGAACAGTGGGAAAGGGCCCTGGAGGCCGGCCTGGCCCTTGACTCCTCCAGCCCCTTGCTTCGAAGTGAGATCTTTAAGCTCCTGCTGGCGGAGTTTGCCCAGCACCGCCGCCTCGACGCTCACCTCCCCCTCCTTTGCCGCCTGTGCCCACCAGATGTGGCTCCTGATGAGCTCCTGCTCTTACTGAGGACACATCTCCCAGATGATGTGGGAACCTCCAACCCTTTCCCTGAGCCTGGGGCAGAGCCCCCTCTCACGGTGGGCTTGGTCAGAGCCCTCCTAGAACAGACTGGGGCTCAAGGACGGCCCTCTGGCCCAGTTCAAAGCAAATACGAGGACATCCTATGGGATCCGGGCACTCCACCCCCTACCCCACCTCGTGGACCTGTTGCTACTCTGCAGGCATCGGAGCACCCAGGACCCGAAGCATGGGCACCATCTGGACAGGGGCTCTGTGCAACTGACATGGGAGGTCATTTGTAGACCACAGGGATGGGGAAGGGTGCCGAGGGCTGGAGAGGACAGAAGTGGAATTTTCGTGTGCAATACTGTCTGTTGTGGAAGAATTTTTAAAATATATGCAGATACCAAATATATTCACAGTTCTTTGTATTATTTGAACAGCTAAGAGTTGCGGCTTATAGAGGGAATGGTTGAATCTGGATCTCTTTCATAAAGCAGCCACTTCTGGTCATGAAAACAACAGTCATTACGTTTCCTATGTGCTAGGTAACTGTGGGTCTTTATAGAAACCTCGTCTAATGCATCTCATAACCCCACTGGGAAAATATCAGTGTTATCTCCATTTTCTAGATAGAAGAAATAGCTGTCCAGGAAGATTAAATAGCTTGGCCAAGCATGTCAGCTAGAACCTAGAGGCTTTAACACATGAACCATCTCATTATATAGCCCAGTGGCTCCTGCCTATCTGGATCTGCTCATGATCCTCATCCAGTGCTGGCTTTCTCTATTGCTGCAAGGAGAGAATTCCATGGAGCTACAGCTTTCTTTTCCTAGGTCTCTTCTGCCCGAGTAGGAGCTGTGGTGGGCCCTGAGCCCATGCTTACTGCTCCCTGGTTTCTACAGACAGGTGAACTACCAGTGATGAGTCACAGAGCAGGCCTCTTCGGAGGGCCTCACACCTCTACTCACTCCCTAAGCTAAGAGACAGGAGCAGAAGCAGCCAAGTTCTTGTTTTTCTGGACCCCTCTGAAGACGTTGTGCTTTCTGCCCACTTCCACCCAAGTGGCCTCTCTCCCTGCTTGTGGCTTAGTTAGGACCCTGATGCTACTTATCATCCCAGGTGCCAACTACTCCTTGCCCAGGAGGGTAGGAACTGTCACTCACCAGGCGGTGATGTCTCACGCCTTTAATCCCAGCACTCAGGAGGCAGAGGTAGGTGGATCTCTACAAGTCCCAGGCCGGCCTGGTCTACAGAGTGAGTTCCAGGACAACCAAGGCTACACAGAAAGACCATGTCTCGAAAAAACAAAAAATAAAACAAAAACTGTCACTCAGCTTTGTCCTCAGACAGAACCTGCAGCTTTGATCCTATTCAGACTCAGTCTAGGATTAAATTAGACTTAGGATCATAATGGTCTAAGGACAGTTCCTCAGAGCTTCTCCGTTGGTTGATATTAGCTCCCCAGTCTCACGGAGATCACAGGGCAACTCATGTGCATAGCCAGCTTGGAGAGACTTTCTCAGCCTCGGTACAGTCTTAGGATAACACTTTGGTCTCATCCAAGGTTTGGCTGGCTCTTGCCCTGACCTGACAGCCAGGCTATCCACCAGACCCTGGAGTCAAGCTGCTGGACTTTCTGTTTTTCCTTCCAGAGACCTAGGGCTAGGAACAGTTCCCTCATTTTCCATACCAGATCTTTCCTAGTCTGGCAAGGGTTCCTCCTCTTGGTCTTGAGCTGGGCCCATTATGTCTCCTCAGTGGGAAGCTGCTCCCTGCTCATGACCTATTGAGTTAAAGTCTTCACAGTCCTTGAGATTTGGTTTGGGCCTCCTTCTGTGCCTAAGAAAAGAAGGGATTATACTTGGTGGCTCTAGGGAACACACAGAAAGAGAGCCAAATTTCTCCTTAGAGTTGTATGACTTGAGGAAGTCCCTCAGGGCTAGTAAGGTTTCTATGCATGTAGCTTCCTGTGAGGGTAGTAGGCAGACTTAGCTGAGAATTCTTACCTGCTTTTACAGACTGGATGGTTGGGTTATATTCACCCTCCAATGTGAATGGTGCAAGCAATCCCAAGCTGCATTTCAAGACCCTGGAGAACATTCCAAGGGTGTGAATGTCCACTATGTTTTAGTGGAGCATGTGAGAGCACCCTCAGAGCAGTGACCAAGTGCTTGGGAATCAGGATGTAAGCTCTCAGCCACTGCTCCAGCACCATGCCTGCCTGCCTGTCGCCACGCTCCCCGATTTGATGGTCACTGACTCTAACCCTGTGGAATGATCGGCCCCGAATCAAATGCTTTCATGGTCATGGTGTCTTATCACAGCAATAGAAAAGTAACCAAGACACATGCATGGCCCCCTGTCATTGCAGCTGGTAGCTGTTTCCTTACACCTCATCTTGTTGGTTTGTTTGTTTGAAATGGGGTCTCTCTACATAGCCCTAGCTGTCCTGGAACTCACCCTGTAGACCAGGCTGGCCTCGAACTCACAGAGGTGTCTGCCTCTGTCTCCTGAGTTTGGGGGTTAAAGGCGTGAACCACCACACCTGGGTAATCTTGATCTCCCAGAACGTTAAAAAAAAAAAAAATCTGATGGAGTCACACCTGTTGCTTTAATCAATGTGAAAGCCAAAGTCTTGACAGATACCATCTTCCTTCAAGTCTGGCCCCCGCCTCCTTCTTCCCAGTCTTCTCTCCAGCCTTTTTTCTTTGATGTTCCAGTTGTTTGTCTCCCTAATTAGTACTCAAGTTTCTTGGAGGCTGACGCCACGGTTATCTGTAATTCTGTAACCTCATCATTGGATGCAGGAGCTAACGGGTGGAAAGGGCCTTCTTCCCATTTCTCCACAGGCCAGACTGACAGACTGGTTGATCTAGACAAAAATACAGGTCGGCCTAAAGAAAGGAATAGACGATCTGGGCAGTGTAGGGCCAGCGCAGCAGCTAAGCCAGAAGCATCTTGGGGGATGGGGGATAAAGGAAATGGTCGTACATATTAGCTCTACTCAGGGCGTCAAGTCCCCAAGCCAGAAGAGAAGACAGGAAAGCCTGAGTCAGTGGACAGTCAGGACAGATGTGCATCTGTGAGTGGGAGCTGTAGGTTGGGCTCCAGAGTGCGGAAAGATTGATCCCTGTGTATTCAGTGTGGGCCATGAGATAACCAGTCCTTAAATATTCCACAATACAAAGATGCACTAGAGTTTGGTTCCTACTGACCTAAGTGGGAAGAAAGGGAGAGCAGAGGCTGGCGGGGGTGGGGGATGGGGTGGGGTGGGGACTGGGGAGGGTGTGGGGGGGGGGTGGCGCGTAACTCTAGACTCTCAGCTCTATGCAACCGCCCCAAGTTTGAATACTTGTCATACTTACTGTGGGGGAGGGATGGTGGGGAGGTGGGGGAACCAAAAAATCTTGAGTGGCTCCCCCCAGGCTCTTTTTTTTATTTAATTGTTTTCTGGTTCTCTCTCCTTTCCCCTTCCAGATAGATCTTGCTATAAAGACGAGGATGATCTTGAACTTCTCTGATCCTCCTGCCTCTCGGGTTGTAGGAGTGCTCCACCATACCCTGTATCTGGCTTATTGAGACAGTGTCTCAAGTAGCAAGGTCAGCCTCAAACTTTGTATCTGAGACTGGCCTTGAACTAGTAACCTTCCCGCCTCTGCCTGGTAAATGCTAGTTTCAGGTCTGAGCCTGGCTTGTTTTGTTCTGGAGTTTTTTGCTTTGTTTTGATTTTATTTGTGTGGGTTTCTTTTTAACATTTATTTATTTTGTGCACGTTTGTGTGGGGGCACCCAGACGAGGGTATGGAGTCAGAGAACAACTTGGACAATCTGCCAAAGTCGATGCTCTCCTTCCAGGATGTAGGTTCTGGAAATCCAACTCAGCTCATCAGGCTTGGTAGCAGGGACCTTACCTGATAAGCCATCCCCAATCCAATTCCTGGTGTTTTGTCTTTTTCAAATATTTATTTCTTTTTATTTTATATGTATGAGTGTTTGACCTGCATGTATGTATGTGCACCATGTGTCTGATGCCTTTTGAGTTCAGATGAGGTAGTCAGATTCCTGGGAACTGGAGTTACAGGAGGTTATGACCCAGCCAACATGGGTTCTGGGAACTGAACCCAGGACCTCTGTAGGAAGCTCCTATCTGAGAAGCCATCTCTCCAATCCCAAGACTTCTTTCCCCTCCTTTTCTTTCTTTTAGTGGCTATCTTAAGATTATTAATATTATTATTATTTTTTTTTTTGTGTGTGTGTGTGTGTGTGTGTGTGTGTGTGTGTGTGTGTGTGTGTGTAACATGTATTCAAATGTCCTCAGAGGCCAGAGGAGGGATTGGGATTCTCTGGAGCTATAATTGATTGTGAGCTTCCAGACATGCAACTCAGATTCTCTGCAAGAACAGCAACATTCTTAACCACTGAGCCATCTCTTGCTTTGTAGCCCAGGCTAGCCTGGAACTCACTATAGTCCAAGTTGGCTTCAAACTTAGGGTCATTCCGGCTCAGCCTCCGGAGAAGGAGCAGGACTCCAGCCTCTTCAGGCGGGAACCTCCATGCGAGGCTTCAGCATCTTCTTCTTAGGCACTGGCTCTCCCTGCTGGACTTCCATGTCACTGCAGCTTCACTCATCAAATGTGCACAAGCAGGGATTTCTCAACCAAGGAAGCCTTTAAAAGAGGTAGCAAAATCAAGGTTCTATAGGCCAAGAGAAAAGAAGGAAGAGATGATGTCAGAAGAAAACTCAGGAAGTTGAGTCATGGCAAGAGGGAAGGGTCCTGGAATTGAACCCGGAGGTGAATCCAGAGGAAAAGGACCCTGAGCCACCAGAATTTTCTTTGGTATTGAAACTGGGGAGTTGACCATACAGTTGTTTCCAAAGAGGTCAGAGTAAGGTCCCATTTTCTATGAATTTTTGTTTGTTTCTTGAGACAGCGCCACCACCTCCTGGCTTCTATGAATTTAAAATACAAGAATGTCCGACTTTGTGTTTAAAATTAATATAGGGGCTGGAGAGATGGCTCAGAGGTTAAGAGCACTGACTGCTCTTCCAGAGGTCCTGAGTTCAATTCCCAGCAACCACATGGTGGTGGCTCACAACCATCTACATGTAATGACATCTGGCACCCTCTTCTGTGTACATAATAAATAAATCTTTAAAAAAAATTAAAAAATAAATAAATAAATAAAATTAATATAGTCTCACTTTTATACACAAAACGTGAAGTAGAGGTGGACCTACTTCTGAAAAAAGAACCAACGAAGAACCTTGGGAGGTGGTAATACCATGGTGGTAATTACAGAAATTTGGAGGTAGAGGCAAGAGGATCAGGATTTAGGGCAATCCTCAGTTACATAGCAAGATCAAGGTCAGCCTGGGCTATGTGAGACCCTGTCTCAAAAGGAAAGAAATGTGAGGGGAAGACAG